CAAATGCTACTGCTGCATTTGCTGGATTTGGTTGCATTTGCTCATTGCCTGCTTGAGGCTGCGCACCTCTCGTGTTTCCGTGCCCCGACCCTTTAAATCCAACACTCTACTCTAAAACCTGAAGCCCGAAGCACAAGCTCTAAAGCCCCAGGGTATGCTTTAATCCGGTACCGCAGAGCCTGAACAATACCTATAACTACCTATAACTCCATTGTAGTTGTTCCCTTATCGGATCCTAAATATGTCACTGGTTAAACCAAAAAAGCCAGTACATGGTAGACGACAGGTGAGCCCGAAACAAAACTGCAGATCCGGAATCCTACACCTTATAAGCCCGAAACCCGAAAGCAACAATAGTGGGAACTCAGGTTTAGCGGATTTCGCGAACTATCCTTCGATGATTCCTGTGGTGCGAAAGGCCCAGCACTGCATCAAAGGAGGGGCTCCGTTGTTTAGGGTTTGGGCTGATAGGGTGTGTAGATTATGGAGTTTCAGAGAGGCTTGAGAGGGGCCGGGTGGGGTTGAAGGGGATGTTAGGTGTTCAGGGGTTTGAGCACACCCAACAAGGGGCTGCCATGGAGGGCGACATGCAAGCCTTCCGTGTGTCTCACACTTACCAGCCATTCGGAAAGCAGTTAATATGAATAATGTGACCACAAAAAATACACTCGCTGGAGAACACTGGACGAACCTCGCTTTGTCAGGCGGTCGTTCATCTTAGCCACGTTGCGGATGTGCCTTGGCTCTAAAGCATTCGCAATTTTGGTTCGTTGTTTCAACTGTTTATCTGTAACGCTGTATTTTTTCAATATTTTACAGCAGCGATCATTGTTCTCAGTTTGTTCTGGATTTTGTACTCGGCCATCACCACACACAGAGCAGTCATGGAAGAAGATGCAGAGACTGCGACCCCTCATCTTCAAACCCTGCCGCTTCAAATTCCCGAACGAAGTCCAGCTCAAGGTTGCCAGAAGCCCTAAAATCTAACTTATAGCCTCCTTAGGAATTATTTTTGATTTTTGTTCATGTAAAGCCCAAGAGAATACTAACAATATTTTGTTATTATGGTTCTAAGGGGAATTCAGTAAAGCCCGGAACCCTACACCCCAGGCCCTAAACTCAAGCCTGACTCCCGAAGTATCGGCCCAGGATGGGACGCTCACTGCGCACTGCAGCTACCGGATCTCCAGGCACCTCGACTGATAGTGATAATGTTTTAGGGTTTATAGGGTTTAGGGTTGTTGCTGTTGTCGTGGTCAACATGTTCACTTCGTTTTTTTTTTAAATTTTGTAGTTGCAGCCAACTAAAACTGTTGTTCTACTAATAGCCTTGCCGTTATTGCGGTTGTTGTCACTGTTATTGTTATTATTGTCGAAGTTCTTGTAGTGTTATTCTTTTTCTCTAATGAAAGATAGGTTGCAAATTGCTCTGGTCTTGTTATGATGGTTTCCTCAGAAGTTACTATCAGTAGCTTCAGATCACAGGCAACACAGAGCCACGGTTTAGAGTTTAGGGTTTAGGGTCAGCACTTTGAACATGGCCCTTGGAGCAGGGGTGGAGCTGGGCTTCCTTATTCTTCTAGGTTGGATCTTGGGACTTTTTGTTTCCTTATTTGAGTTTATAAGGGACCCTGAATACAAATATTTTTCAGGGTGTTTAAAGGCCAACCCAGTCTTCGCCTTGAGAGTATGAGGATCGCCGATTCTCTGTCATGGTGGATGATTTAAATAATGCATTACCTTAAGGACCCTAAACTATGGGAACTATGGTATATTCTTAATTACATATGGGTAATGCGGGATACATACCATCAGCCGTATGCTTGAGGGCCTGCCGGGTTCAGGGTTCAGGGCAGGCCTGAGTGGTTGAGAGTCAATGGCTTTGGGGAAAGGGTTCGGGACGGTGGGGTTAAGGGCTTAGGGATTAAGGGATCGTGTGTTTAGAGTCCGCATGCTAGGACTCCAAATAGCCCGAAGTAGGTACTATTTATAGACTTTAGACCCCGGGGTGGGTGCTGTTTGCATACTTGGATTCGTAGGGGATGGGTCTTGGATGTCGGAGTTCCGGACACGATCCTTCGAACCGTTTGGGGAATGGCACAGACTGTTTGGAATCCCGGAAGATGCCCTGAACTCCGAACCCGGAGCCTTGAACCCCAAAACCCAAGAGTGTCCAACACCGAAGCAGATAGAAAGGGCTTGAATGCTTGGTAACAGTATTTCCTTACGGTCCCTGCATGATTGTGCCCTGGTATGTCCGCCCCTCCCTCAAACAATCTATTCGCGTCAGTAAGGACCTTAGAGCTATCATGAAGTCTCAATTCCCATAGCAAGCGCCATTCTGATTTCTCAGGGCCACTACATCAGCCAAGGTTCTATCTCGGAGTCTCGATTGCCATGGCACCCAGTCAAATCGACTGCCGGCTTCCTTTCGTGTCCAAAGGTCGTAAAGGGAACTCCAGAAAGTTGGAATATGGTTTCAGGGTAGGATACCCTATAATTTACCATAAAGGGCTTAGGAGAATCATATTCCAACTTTCTGGCTTGTACTGTAAGGGTTTAGTGTTTTGTTGAAGGTGGTTAGGGCTGAGGTTGATGGGCTCCCCAAGTTCCCAGGAGTGAATGTACCCTAACCTGAAGAGTTCTTAAACAACTAGGACCCAGAGTACGCCCTTATTCCCTTTTTAAGGGTTTAGGTTCCCTTATAACCCCGTTATCCCAAAAAGGGCACCCTTTTTATTCCTAGGTTACTCTTGGGTCTAGACAACGATTTGAGCTACAGCTACATGCCTCGAATGGGGGGTATAGGATTATTCGGGCTGGTTCATCGCATGCTATGCCCCATAGCTCGGAGGCCCTTTTAAAGACACCTCCGACCCGAATATGTACGCCTGAAAAAGAACTTTCAGCGACCGCCGTCTGAAAAAGGCTTTTGCTAGGGCTTAGTGTTTGGGTGTAGGGGCCTTAATTAGAGTAGGGTTTGGGGGGCCCATTATAATCATAGTAAGGAGCCCCTCCAAAAAAGTATAGGCAAACATCAAGGCCCCTATGTTACTTAGTTGGGCACCTCGCTCCTAGATCTCTTATACAGACCTCCGTCGAGCTTTCATAGGCGACCTAAACATCACCTTACAGAGCCCTATGTTTGGGGGTACCGCGGTTGATGATACAAATCCTGCATTACCTTAAGGATCCTAACCATGGGAATGCATATTCCTTATTATGGGTCATGCAGGATTTATATCATCAACAGTAGGACCCTGAAGCCTTGAGGAAGCCTCGATGCCGAAAGCAAGATTCCCAGCATCGAGCAGAAAAAGCGGAGGTTCATGGGTAGTAATAAATTTGGTTAGAAGTCCCCTAAACCCCTAAACCCCTAAACCCTAACCCTAAACCCTAAACCCTAAACCCGAAACCCTAAACCCTACACCCTAAACCCTAACCCCTAAACCTAAACCCTAAACCCCTGAACCTCCAACCCTAAGCCGGTCGCACCGCGAAGGTCCACAGCGTCAGCAGAGATGAGGGCCTCGTGCGCCTTTCGGCAAGGATTTTGTCAGTTCAGGGGTTGGGGGGATGCTGGTTCAGGGTTTAGCCCAAAACCTGGTAGCTCAGGGCTGAAGGGGTAGGGTTTAGGGTCTTGGGTTTAGGGTTTAGTTTAGGGTATAGGGTTTACGGTTTTTGGCTCCATGTGCCGACAGTAGAAGCCCAAAAGTTGGAAACCCCATAGCCTCAATCCTTAAGAGTAATGTACAGGGAGTCCCAGCACTATTTGGCCTTAATCCGGTTTCCAACTTTATGGGGTTTACTGTAGGGTTTTCGAGATTTCAGCAACCTCGAACTCTGAACCACAAATCCACAGAAGCCTTGCCTAAACCCTAAACCGCAGAGGTTTATGAGGAGTTTTCCTGGGTTCTTGGGTTCGACAGGCTCGACGGTGTGACCTGGGGTTTAAGCGTCTTGGGATTCGGGTTATGGCTTGAGGTTAGCGATGTCCCGCGGTTCAGTTTTCTCTTTTCCTCGCAGGGTTTCGGTGTATGGGGAAGCAGGCCTTTGGGCTGTTTAAGGTTAAGGGTTTAGGGTTTGGGGTTTAGGGTTTAAGGTTTGGGGCTAAGGGCTATGAATGTCTTGAGCTTTTCGCTTCGGGGCGCGAGTGCCTATGGTGTCAGGGGGCTGGGTTAGTGCCGACGGGTTCAGGGAATGAACCCCGAACCCTAAACCCTAAACCGCAGGCGTTGGGGGGTGGAGGGGCTTCGATGGTACGGATTTCGGTCTCGGAGCGTTGGCTTGGGTTGGGAGCTTTGGGGCACCCTAAACCCTAAACCCTAAACCCTATTAAAAAAGCCCGACACCTTCCTCAAACCTGCAGCAAAGGCTAAATTCGGAATCCTGAACCTGAAACCTTGTAGCCCAAACCCTCAACCTCAACCAACCTGAAACTACCAAACCCTACATGTTTTGTAGGTTCTTATTATAAACCCTACTATGGAACTTATAGGGACCCTACAAAAAAAGTAGGTTTTGGTAGGTTAAGGCAAACTCTAAAGCCGGAACCTTAAACCTGCAACGCCACAAACCCTGCACCACACGCAGGTTTCGACCTCGACCCCACCGTCTCTGCCATGATGCTGCCAAGCCGACCTGCTTCCTCCCGATGTGCGAGCTCTAACCCAGAGGGTCCATATACACTACTATCATGGAATTAGGTCCAAAAGACCATCCTCATTATGGTTTTGGGGACCTGATTCCATAATGGTAGCGTACATGGACCCTCTGTGTAACAGCCAGAACACCGTGTAATCGCTGCATCCGCAAGTTGTCAGTTGGTCCAAGTCGCTCGTGTGTTGTATCGAATAACCCCTGCCCCTTCAGGCATTTAGCCGTGTCGGCTCTCCCACGCCGGGTATTCGCGATCTGCTTGGTAAGGTATCGAATCCTTAGTGTCGCGAGAAGATCTTGGGGATCTATAGGCCCTACCAGAACTCGCCATAAGCGTGAGCATGGAGAACTGCAGGTTCTGCCGTTCGGAAACGCCTGAGTGCTTCGAATGTGAGGCGTGCCTGTCAGAGGGCGGTTACGGCCCCGGTCGTACCGTCTACGTCTGCAGGGCATGCGTCAGACAAGGCGTGGCATGCGAGTGCGACAAAGCAATTACCATGGAGGACATTGCCACTCCGGCCGAACACCTTGTCAGGTACTTCCACAGAGAAGGCATTCAAGCCGCATGCGACACTGACACTGTCAGAATTGAACGTGCCGTGGCAGCGCTGATCACCCGGGAGTGTGGGGTCTGGTGGTACCGCCTGTACAGCTGCCGCCATGCAGGCAGCAGGCAACTTCAACTTTCTACCGGCGTGCTGTTCGCACTGGATGCTGCAGAAGGTCGACTGGTCAGAGAGCTGGACTCATCCGAGTCTGAGTCGTTTCGCAGCGCTTTCTGGTGGAAACGTCCATGGACCGCATGGGTGCTCAGCATGATCCGATTCAAGGCAGGGCCCGTAAACTTGATGAGCTTGTGCCCCACGTATCCCTCGCGAGAGCGGCTAGCACGAGACCTCATGAAGCAAGGCATCAGGCCCGGTACTGAAGGCAAGCCTTGTGCGCTAAGCCTGGCGACAGTAGTGTTGGTCACAGAAGAGGGGCCTTGGCGGCCTTGGTATTTCTTTTACCCGTTCCAGTCCGTTGACGAAGGGGAACAAGTCATGCACAAGTGGTCGGGCACAGTTGGCATCTTGTTCAGGCTTCGGCTTAGTGCCGAACGAGATGCTATACGTCTCGTTGAGGCAGGACTCAACACACCATGCTTCGAACGCTTGTGGCAACAGTCGCTCAGGGCAATCCGAAGCAAGACAGACGTTTAGCATTCGGTCTCGGCAGTTTGGGGCACTTGCACAGGCTCCGCATCACGGACATTTTTTAAAGCAGCTCCTGCACAAAAACGAGGTGTATTTCCGGCAGCTTTTTGTGTGCATCAGAACTTTGGTTGGCATCTGTGCAAGCCGCAAGCCGTTGTTTTGGACGAGCTCGCTCTGTGAACGATGCTATCTAAAAAGATGGTCGGCAGCAGAGCTCGCGGTGTCAGAATCCAAGTTGTGTGACGGCAGGTACTTTCGAGTCTCTTGTTGTCATCGGGCTCACTCTTCTGGAATCGCTAGCGCATTGGTTGAGTTCTCCAAAATGCAAACAAAGTTAGATGTTCTCGGCAGGTCGAAGAATGCAAAGAGCATCAAATTTTTCCTTTCGGAAAGCAGCGAAGCCGGCGAACAGGTGTTCAAGGTGTAATTGTTAACTTGCATCCCGTCTTGGTGTTGGTATGACTCCATTGAACGAACTGTGGACCACAAGCCTTACTTAGCCATCTTATGTCGGACCAGATTAGGGCGGACTGGTGCTTCGAAAGCCTCGTTCCCTTCCAGTTAGAGGGATGGAGGACATCATTCAGATTCTCATCCACCATACTGTTGATGGACAAAATCCTGCATTACCCATTATAAGGAATATACCATACTTCCCACAGTTTAGAGTCCTTAGGGTCATGCAGGATTTTGTCCATCAACAGTATGAGCGATCCCCTGATGACATCAGCTTCGGAGTTTATGCGCACATAGTCAGATGAGCCCCACACTCTGAGTGCCCCAGACGTCATGGTCTCTCGCGCCAGCTTCGCGAAGATGACTTAACGCACGATGGACTTGAAGACCCAGATGGACCAGTCAAACTGCAGGGAACCCATCATACAGTTACAGTATGTAACCTACCAACATGATTTGGTTAAGTGAGCCTTGGGCAGTTATCGAATCCTCATAAGACCCATCAAGCACATCAAGCATCGCAGCCGTGGCAGGCAAGAGGTGACTGGCTTCTGGTATGTCGAAGCACTGGATGCCAAGGGCCGGGGAACCAGGAATGAGGGTTTCAAGTTTGGGCTTTCAGGGTTCCGTTTTGTGGTGTCCCAGGGCTCAGGGTTTAGGGTTTAGGGTCTTTGGCTCAGTTCTTAGGGTTGCATGGTTCAGGGCTCAAGTTTGGGGTTTTTCGGGTTTTATTCAGCCCCATTCGGCTTATTCAGGCGCCTAGACCCTAAACCCTTAAGCCCTTGAACCCCTGAACCCCTAAAGCCTAAGCCTCCAAATCCTAAATCCTAAACCCTAAACACCTGAATCCTAAACTTCACACCCCTAAAACCTAAACCCCTTAAGCCCTGAAGCCCTGAACCGCTCTTCCGTGACTCATGATCGCCGTCCCACGTTTCGGCTCGTGGCTCGGGTCTCGCTGTGGAAGACATACGAAGACCCTGCTATGGGGGCCTCTAAAGGGGTCCTTTCGGGGATCCTATAAGGGTACTGTAAGGGTTTAGTTTAGTATAGGGGGTATAGGGGCTTAAATAACTTCCAATATTATTGTGGGGGTTCCTTGTTATATTTATAGTATAACTGGGCCCCAAACCCTGTTCGAATTATTAAGGCCCCTATATTACGATGCCGACTTCTGTTTCGTTGAAGCTGCCCCGAGTTCTGATTTCCTCATGAAGATCGTGCATAGCCTCGTTTGTGGCTTTAGGGTTTAGGGTTTTCGGGTTCAGGACTTTAAGGTTCACGGAACGACCATGAATCAGGCTATCCAAAAAGAGCTACATTCTATGGGGAAAGGATAACTGCCGAGGCTGCACGCCCCAACTATATCTTGAAGCCCAAACAACCAGTAACACTCTAAAACCTCCAACCCCGAACACCGCAACCGCAAAACCGCATTCCTGAGCCCTAAGCCATAAACTGCCCAGGCGCCTGCCGCGTTTGGCTGAAGGTCGACCTCCACGCAGCTCCCTGGATGGCAATGGCAAGCAAGGCCGTGCAGTTCAGAAAACCTAGTTGAGGCTTTAGGGAAGTTCTGCTTCAGGATGTAAGGTTTAGGGTTCATCTTCATGTTGGGAATTAGCTTCAAGATGTTGGAAGTTGGCTGGATGGTAAAAGAGACTCGTTGATCAAGAACGCCTCAGGTCAGGTGTGCTGCTAGCTCATCACACACAGCACGACAAGCAGTTCTTCTCCCATCCCGCCTGCTCTGCGAGAACAACGGGCTATGCATCGCAAAGAGAAGCGGGTCCTTGGAGGTGGGGTGACAAGATCTTACAAGAAAAGGGGCATTGTCAACATGTTGCTCTAGCCAATCGTCGCTCCCTAAACCCTAAACCCTAAGCCCGAAAATTGAACCACATACAGCCCAAAACAGGGGCCGAAAGAATTGGTAACCCCATCTCCTTGTAGTTCTTTTATGATTCTAGCAACATCTACCCCAAGAATCCTAGTCTAACCGATCTCCTGATAGTCCCTGTATGATTCTAGTAGCACCTACCCCAAAAAGTCCTCGTCTAACTGCAAAGGTCCCTCCTTATAGCTCCTGTATGATTCTAGTATCATCTACCAAAAGGTACTTTATAGGTGCCCTCATTGAGGGATCTACTTTTTGGATTTTTCGGCGGTCTGGGTGAGGCCCCGACCTGTCCAAAACCCCAAACTCTAAACCCTGAGCACGACATCACCGTGAAAGACAGGGCATGTGAGAACTCGTGAGGGGCGACATCTGAGGGCACTTTTGTTACATCTGGAACTGCATATGCAGCTACAGAGGACTAGCTAGGAGCCGACTTGGGCAGACGCACAAAGAAGGCCGTCAACCTAACTTTAAAAAATCCCTAAAACACTAAACCCCAAAACCTTAAGCCCTAAACCGATCTACCCCCCAAGTCCGATTCTAACCCGTAAGGCCCCTACCTGTGCTTAGCCGAGGCAAATTGGCTGCCACACTGGCTCATCGACTATGCCTCCAAGTGGCTCTTCGCTAACACACCCGAGAGTAGGCTTCAGGGCTTGAGGGGTTTCGGCCTACGGGTTTCAGGGGTTTAGGGCTTTAGGGGTTTTGGCTAAGGCGTTTAGGGGTTCAGGGTTTTAGGGGTGATTAGGGTTCAGGGTTTAGGATTCTCCTGCGCACACCCCAACAAGCCACAACCCCTCAAAAAAGACGCTATGTCGCTGCTCCATCTTTTCACCGGCAGTATAGTCAATCTACAAACATAGTTTTTTTACGGCCCCTAAACTTTAACCCTCGGCCCTAAGCCATGTAAATTTCGCGAGGAGATAAACCCTGAACCCAAGGACAGCCCGAAGAGGGGACAGAAGCAAAGCGTAGTAGCTGAGTGGATACACTGTACACTTTTTGGGATAATATTACCCACTATAAAACTGAAAGTGTACACTTTTTTGGGGCTTATGAACTCAGCAACTAAGAAAGGCGAGCCCTGACGCGCGCGACCAGCTGGCTGAAGCCCAATGTGGAACAGCTCTGGCTCCTTGGCTCTTTGGGCCCTAAACCCTGAATGGAACCCTAAACCAAAAACCAAACCCTGAGCCCTAAACTAAAGCCTAAACAGACACCAAATTAGACTATACTCTGAACACTAAGCCCTAACCCAAAACCTTAAATCTGTAGGGTTCAGGGTTTATTACAGCTATGGCTCCTGGGCTGTCTGGTGATTCTCAATGTTCTATTCAGAGTTTCTGTAAGGGTTCAAGAGTTGTATAGTGGCTTGAGCAATCTGAACGACATGAGTAGGGGGTGGGCGAGGTTTAGTTTACAGCGGCTGAGTCTCATGATGCTCTTCATCTCCTGAACCCCGGACATTAGAAACTGCCCCCACCCTGTAATAGTGGTATAATAGGAATATAAGAGGGCCCTAATATAATCCTATATAATCCTTGTGGTCACTATTACAGGGTGGGGGCCCCTTCTAACCCGGACACATACCTTTCAGACCCGCCTGCACCCCCAACCTAGACCCAACAGTCTAGACCTTGAAGACTATGCCCTGGACATAGCACCTAAACTTAGAGCCTGAGCTCTTCGCCCAACCCCTACACCTTCAAGTGGAAGCTAGCCTGACCTCATGCACCGTGAACTCGACGCCCCCAAAACTTCGAGCAACGTGCTTCTCTTGCCCTCAAGGACACTGTGGCGAATGCCTGGACTACTCAGATATCACAGCACTCTTTATAGATCCCCTATAGTAACCCTTTATAGTATGTTGATAGACCCCTTTCAGGGAACCCCATTCTAATTATCTAGGATGCCCAGTAGTACCCTTATTCCCTTTTTGTAGTCCTAGGTTCCTTATAAAGTTACCCAATACCAAAAAGAGAGGCCTTTTTATTCCTAGGTTACTGGGTATCCTAGTTTATACTACCCTAAACCCTAAAACCCTAAACCCTAAACCCTAAGCCCTAAAACCCTAAACCCTAAACCCTAAAGACAACTCTTGCAGGATCCTTTGTTATTAAGGCCCCCATAGTAATCATCCTCAGTCCAAGCTCCAACCTCTAGGACCCAGAGTAGGCCCTTATTCCCTTTTTTTAGGGTCCAGGTTCCCTTATAACCCACTTTAAACAAAAAAGGGCACCCTTTTTATTCCTAGGTGACTCTTGGGTCTAGTCTCTCATCCCCCAAAATCCCAGCCCGAAGCTCTGGAAACTCAACCCGAACAACCAAGAGGCCCTAGAAACCATCCCAAACTTTCTTTTTGCTCTCTTTTTGTTAGTATAATTGTTATGGTTATTACTGTTACTTTTGTTGTTGTGATTGTTATTGGTATAGTAGCTATAGTAATGCCGACCATTATTCAGCCCGCAAGGTCAGAGATGCAGAGCTCTGAAGAAGCCCCTGAGCCCTAGGGCTTTACATTGGGGGTCCTTGTAACACGGATCCTACCATTTAGGGTACTATATTAGGGTCCGCTATTTTCGGAAACCCCCCATGTGGCGGTCACGGGCTTCTGCGGTTTAGGTTTAGGGATGTTGAGGATTCCGGGTGCTGA